CCAAAATATTGTTCGATTCGCGCGTTGAACGGAATCGGGATATTCTTGTCCAGGCAGCCCTTCTTCTCACCTGGTATTCCGATCCTGTTGATGATGACGTCTCCGCAAACGCTCACTACTGGGTTGGGGTGGCTGCCAGAATCGCAACGGGCTTGGGAATGCACCGCAATGCGAGCTCTAGCAGGATGGTGTCGATTGATAAGCGCATGTGGCGGCGGGTTTGGTGGATCTTGGTTCAGTTCGACGTTATGGTATCCCTATTGTATGGAAGACCTCAGGCTGTGTGAGTTAACTCAATTTCCTTCGCGGGGTTTTTTTTTTTTTTTTTTTTTTTTTTTTTTTTTGGGGGGGGCGGGGGGAGTTTTCCGACATGGGGAAGGGACACTAACCAGGGCCACGACTCAAATAGCAACTTGGAGGATTGCGATGTTCAGCCTCTTACTGCGACGGATTTCGAAGGTTGTGGGAGCCGCGTTCAAATTGATTATGTGATACACTATACCGAGCTTTGCACCATGATTTCGTTCATCGTGAAAGAAAGATTTGGGTTGCGAGTCAGTCCCGAACGGCGGAAGGCCGTTCTTAACGAGGCTGATAAAGCACTTGCGAATTGGTCGCTTATGCTCCCAGATTCGGTTCGAATGTCCTCTGCCGACTCCGGTTCGTGGCCGGCTCTCCTCCATCTGACCTACAACAATTTCCTGATATTGCTTCACCGCCCTCACCCTCGAGCTTCGGCGTATTCGGATGATTACGGCCCTAACGATGCTGAGATATGTAGCGCAGCTGCTGGCGTCATTGTCTCTATCTTCGAGGACCTGAGAGAGAAGGATCGGTTGAAATATTTGTGGATTTCATCGGTCAACGCCTTATTCACAGCGATGATTCAAGTACGGGTGGAACTTCGATTTTCAAACCCTGTACTAGCAATCAACGGCCTTCGTCGATTCGATTCAACACTCGCCTCGCTTCGCATTCACGCAGAATACTGGCTCAACGCTGAGACGATCCTGCGCTTATTTGAGAGTTCAAAACGCCTGCAGCGTGACATCCAGGATGTCAAAATACGAGACTCCACCTACAAATCGAAGGACGTGGATCACCATCATCAGCAACGAAAACACCCAGAGCCAACCAGTCCGGGGGCAGATTCACAATCAGCCCCACCACATGTTAATGATAACATCTGCTCACCCAATGGCCTTCAGTTCGATGACCGTATCAAACTCTCTCCCTCATCCGCGCCAATCCAGCATCCCGCTCCCGTCGTTGACCACATCGGAGTAACGAACCAGGTGGCGGGCGGACCCGGCGGCCCAGCCGATTGGCGACAACTCTTTTCGTTTGGCGACTCCGAGCAGGTTAGGCCAATTGTCATGGAGGACCTGACGGACATGGAAGATGAGTGGCGTGAATTATACCTGCATGAGCCGGGCATGTCGGATTATTTCCAGGACTCGTCCTGGATGCAGCCGTTGTGAGAAGGCAAAGCAGCTGATTACTACTACTACTATATGACAGCTTTTTCTTTATGACGTTGCTATCACATTTACCCCTGGGAGCATTCTTCTTCCCACTCTGGAAGGAGATGTCAAGACTCTTTTTGATAGGACGGTATGCAATAACCCGTCAACCACTACTCGAGCGAGGGCGAGGGACTGCGCATACTTCCAAATTTTTGTGGTTTAAATCCTGACTGCTCCCGCAGCGGGCCTTTACACAGCAACACCAAAACAACAAATGAACAACAAATGAACAACAAATGAAACCTCGTAAACCCTTCAAAATTTTGAACTGTTTAAACAATCCATCGCAAACCCCCAAAGTCCTCCCAGGGTTAGACAAGTCGTGATACTACTAGCAAAAGAAACCCATCTCTTTTTCAGAAATTTCTATTTCATCATGTCCGTCAATATCAAATCAAATCCGGATTGTTGCTCCAACTGAAAAAGAAGGTGGTTCACAACCCACACGCGACGCACTCACTCACGCAATACCCCCTTTTAATGGAAATGTCAGCCCACACTGCACAAACGCGTTCTGTCAACGTTGGATTTGCCAAAGGAACGGGATATTCTCGCCGATTATTTAACATCACCGACTGTTTATACGGGACACCTTCCCGAAGCGATCAAGCTGGGTATGCTTGTATCAACGTCCGCCCGCAAGAAAAAGGCGTGGGACGTACCATTCGGACGAGAAGGAGCGGCGCCGTTCACGAACCGCAATAACATATCCTTTGCAAACTTCAACAGTGTACCACGTAAGCGCCAAATGTCCCTCCCACACGGCTTCTTGAGCATACATTTTTCCAGTCGTCATGTCGCGCTCAGTGCTAATGAGTCCATGATAAGGGATTTTAGCATTATTACCTGTTATTATTATCGTTATTTTTATTTTCTTCCTGGAGCGTCGGCTTCTTGTTTCTTGAACGAAGGCACAGGAGGGCTCGGCGCACTGGTTTATGTTTATTATCAAACTAGGGCTACAGGACTACATCTATATTGCTATTTGAGATGAATGAAGTGGCTGTACTGAATATTTTAGATTTATATGTACAGTACATACAACTTTTTTTCTCCGGGGTGGTTCTTGTTCGCTTTGATAGTCCATTTTTTTAAGGCTGCTATTTAGACCGGATGTATAGCTAACTTAACAGTTAGATAGTTATTTTTAATAATAAGTTCCATTATACTTTTTCTAAATGATAACTAAAATAAGATAAAATAAAATAAATGACAATTTTCAAATCGTTTTTCCCATATCATTTTCTGCTGCTTCGAAGAATGAAAGCAAATTTTAAAGGGAATCGTCCACATCTTGAGTACAGAACATACATGCCACGAAGAAAACAGCTATAATAAATGACCTTGTAAGCTGTGGATATAATATCAAATGACGCAGAGCACTTGGGATAACATTCATGACTTATTCGTGACAAATTCTCCAAAATCTTGTCAGGGGTGTCGGGAAGAGCTTTGACCGCCGTCCGTGG